TCAATGATAAGACCGAGGAACTGCAGCCCCCATATTGCTTTGGTGGACAGGGTATGGAGCCATTACCATCTGCTTTCCAATCAGAAACCTTGCTAAGTATATTAAGATGAACGTTTGACAATTTCACTTCCTTTGACGTGGTTTCTCTGCAATCAGCTCTTCCTAGGAACTGCTTACCCCTGTCATCCTGCACAAGCTTGGTTGCATCTCTGAGATCTTTGCAGCAGCTAAGGCAGAGGTCATATGAGCAATTTGAGCAGTGTCTATGGTAATCAACAATTGGTATCCTGCAGAAATTACTGCAAACAGAAACGTCTCGATGACGTAGATCTTATCAAGCAGAGAAGTTGAGAGTGCATATTTCCAAATAGCAGGAACAGAAAGAAGATAAGAACTTTGGCAATTGTTCAACATTTATCAATTTGAAATATTACCAGCACATTTGCTCATCTGCATTCAATTTTGTCCGACCAAGATCCATTCCATTTCCTGGACAATATAAGGGATATTCAGTTCATACGTCATAGTTCGCCCAATATCAGAATTTGGACTCCCATATACGTTAATAAAGATGCAAAAGATCATACTTGTACCTCGAAGTTTTTTTTCTAGTTCCACCTCAAAGCACTGCTGATTATGAATGTGCTTAACAACTGGAAGAACTGCTGACAAAAGGGAATAGAGATACTGCAATTTGTTTTGTGCAGGTATCTCCCTTATTCTAACCTATGCACACAGCAATAATGAATCACAGAAAAGAAAAAAATATTTTATACATGTTAAGCAAAACCACTACATCATGTAAAGCTCTTTTAGCCATATATATATACCTTTAACAAGTTGTCTCCCAGCATACACACTTTACAATTGCAACTACCACGACACGCAGGACAAATCCTCTGTATCTCTTCAACTGGCATGTTGGAGTACCTGACATTAAACTCTGAAGTCATTGCATAGGAAATGGAGAAAATTAGAGACATGTTACTTTCATAATTGAGTCTCACCAAGTTGAAATGCAGCTTTCACAGTAGCCCCTTCTATCACATCTAAGGCACCAAGTTACTCGGTGATCATTCCGCCTACATTGATGACAAGGTTGCCCCCCTGTATTATCAGAAGAATTGGAGCTCCCTTCAGAGGTTTCCTAGGGGGAAAATCAAAGGAGCCCAAGTGAGAATATCAAACACAACCAGCAATAACAATGACGGACTGTTGACCTCTAATACTTGGAGAGCAAAAGAAACTTCAGGTCTAAGAACTCTAATTGAATCTAAGACAATATGTCTTCATCAAACTTAAATGTGCAGATTACATAACAACCACCACAATTTTATTATCTTAATTAGAATTATTTATTTACTAAATGAACTATCCCCTGCATCACATTGCCCTAGAGTAATCTCATGTTTACCAAAATACAATCTATCCACTTCCTAAAGTAACTCCGTTCCCAATGCTACTCACTGTGAGTGCAAACTCACCGCTGTAGGACTGGAATCAAACATCTTCTGCGATCTGCTTCTGGAAGATTCCATACCAGAAGGAGGTGGCGTCCTGTAACCTCTTCGGCTTTCATCATACTGTACAACATCCATGTCTAGATAATCAGTAGACTTCATGCCACGAGCTAAAAACATCTTGCTTTGAGGTGTTTCAGAAAAATAATTCATCTGATTCTTTGGTACCTTTTCTTTGTGCTTCTTCCCAGAGATTGAACCAGAATAATCCCCAAGTTTCTGGTTCTCGGCTGGTAAATCCATATCATCACTTTTACTCTCCGAATATACATCATTTTCATCCATTGATTTTCTCTTTCCCTTTTTCATGCTGGCTCTCATTGCAGAATTTGCAGCTCTCTTCTTAGCCTGTATGTAGTGCTTTTCACACACAGTCTTATCAGGCATAGACAATGCAGTGCATCTCCATTGTTTCCCATCAGACCTCTTACACCGCAAATCATCAGGTATGCCAATATTATCTTCACCAGGCCCAGAGGATGATCGTGGGTGATCCATCAACATGTGAAGTATGAAAACTAAGAGCTACATAATCATCCAAAACCATGTGATGAAATAACCTGAACATTCACAGACAGGTAGCCAGGAAAATAGAAAGAGGAGTAAATTGCATGATGAGTAAGAACTTGAAAACCACAAAACCTTTAAAAATACTAAAAGCTTATTGTAATTAAATCTACAGCAAGATTTACAAGAAAGCAGCCAGTGCTATATGGGTCCTTTGCTTCTATTGTGTTATGTCTAAGCAACATTCGCATAGAAACTTATTCAGTGTTTTTCTAATCTTTTTCCATTCATATGAGACAAGTGAGAACATTTTAGAATATTTAAGGGATAAGGCACAAGTACCACCCGGAACTATACCCAGGATCCCAGCGACACACCTAAACTTTACAGGGGTCCTATTACCCTCCTAAACACATTTTTATGTATTTGTGTTCCTTTTGTGCTGTCGTATCACCGTATCACCATTTTCCAGGTAAATGACGTGCGGTGTCTAACAAGCGCTTTTATTACACAAAAAGGGTCCCACTCCATTAACCTTTACCACTTACATTTTCACTTTTTTTACACAATAAGATTTAACTTTATTCCCAAAAACATTTAACTTTACCAAAATGATTTATCTTTCCAGATCCAACCTCTCGCCTTCTTGAGCAATTCACCGAAATCATAGTTTTCGATTTTGTACTTGGTATGTAGGCTTAAATTTGGTACTTTTTTTTTAGTGTTTGATTCCATCCCAGGAGTGTAGGGTTTCTTTTGATCGGAATCATCCAAGGAGTGTGGTCAAATTCGAAGGCTTTCAAAAATCAGAACTACAAATTCGACATGAAAGGATGCAAAGATTAAGAATTTACACAAAATTAAGCTTACCTTTTTGAGTCAAGAAGAAATTTCAAGAAGGGTATTGATTTGGAGCCACCATTAATGGAGAATGAAGACAGGGTAAATTGACTCTGAAAAGAATCAGGTTTTGAAGAAAGGATTTTCTTTTTCAACGTTGTCAATGACATGTGGCGAAATCCTATTGATTAGAGCTGCCACACTGCTGCTCCCACGCGCCTCAGATTAACGCATGGTGCCATGTCAGCACAAAAGGAGCACAAAAATACATAAAAAATGAGTTTAGGGGTAATATGACCCCCACAAAGTTTAGGTGTCGCTGGAATTTTGGGTATAATTCAGGGTAGTACATTAGTGTATCATCTAAGATGATATATTTTTGTCACATAGGAAGCTAATAAGAATCCAAACTAACCGCAGGAGAATCACAAAGTACTACAATCAAAATTGCAAACCGCTCCATAATTTGTATTCTATGATTAAGAATAGAACTTAAAAGGTTCAACTTCTCCTCGCCCTTCAGTTCCTACCTAGCTTGATCTTCATAGCTGGATTTCACGAGATCATCCAGATGGAGAACTGACTTCCAGTAATTAAAAAAACTAGTGCTCTTACCTTAGTCTATTCATGGAAAGCTAATATATGGATTCTCTCCTTCTATCAAAACGGACACGGAATTTCATCAACAAGAAAAAACTGCTCTTTTTATTATTTTTTTCCCTTCCCCCATTACAGCAGAAAACTAATACAACGTACTGTCAATCAACCAACTATACCTAAATCCCAAACTAGTTAGGCACAGCTACATGAATCCCTTTTAACAATTCCGCTCTATCCAGGCTCATTTGAAATCAAAGAACAGAAAAGAACCCATCTCACAGTAAAACGAAACAAAACCCACGTCGCAAAAATTAAAATCCTTCGACAGAATTGTTCTAAATCCAAAACCTACGCAAATTCGGGCAAAATTTCCATTCATAATAGTAATAAAAAGAAGTAAAAGAAACAGAAACATACATAAAAGCATAACAATAGTCTTACATTAGCAGCGAATTATAGGTCCAACAATTCATCAACAAAATTAGGGTGGAAGAAAAAAAAAAGTTCCTTTTTAACAGTATAAGGAAGATCAATCCAGTAATTATAGAGTGTTTCTCTACGAAGTATGTGCGAAATAGAGAGAGAAAGTAGAGAGAGAAACCTGGGGAATTCGTGAAGCTGTAATTCGTCGGGCTGTAAAATGCAGAAGGCGAGAAGGAGAAGAATGAAACGACGTCGTTGAAGTGCTGTAAGCAAGTCCTGCACTGCAGCTGACAATCCCATCTTCTCTCTTTCTTATTTTTTTTCAGAAAAGAAAAAAAAAAGTTACTCGTAAAAGGGAACTATTTCGTAGCTTCATTAAAATATTATTAAAATTATATCTTTGCAAATTGATTTCATTTTTTCTTTTTAAAAAATTTCTCATCTAACACTCATATTGCAGTCCGACTAGGTGCTCAGTACTCATATTGCAATCATACTAAATTTAAATTTACGTTAGAAAGCCTAAAACTTCTGACTAAAGATGAAAAAACACTTACCGCTCTAAAATTTGTGTTGGTTATTTCAATTTTCTATTAGTGATGATGAAAGAATGTATGTCTAATGTCCAGGTAAATTACAATGTATAATACTCTTGTAATATTAACCCTCTTGTGTTATGAAATAAAGAGTATAAAAACTAAAATTGAATAATCGTCAAAATATACTTTTACTTAATTAGAAAGGAGAATTGACATTATATTTTTTAGTACACATTTTTCAGAACATCTAATTAGAAAATGAGGAAAAATTGTCAATCACTTGTTTGCATGTGTGCGCTATTTTAATTTATTTTTTAAAAAAATTGTATACATTTCTTTCTGTTTATTTCTCTTTAATTCATTCATTTACATAACTTACATATATATATATATACATTTTATAAATGATTGATTTAAAAATATCAAAGTACAAAAAATGTCAAATCAAGCAAAGGCGCACTTTAAGCAAAGAGATCACAAACTACATTAATTTTATATTATACAAGTGCTTCGAATGATCACAAAACTTGCATAAAGAATTGGCTGAAAATATATTACAAACTCCTCGATTACACTAAAAGAATGCTTTCTCACAGATATGCCAAAAAGAATCACACATGAAAATGTTGCAAAACATAATAATGCTATTTACATTACAATAGATTACATTACTCATGTTAGCACACAATATTTGAGCTTAATGAAAATGTTGTGTAAAGATTTCTCCTTGAATCCTTGCCATCTATGCTAAAAGACTCAGTCTTGATGATATCTTTAGATCATCTGCAGAAGATTTTGCACGATTTCGGACATTGGTGGCCTGAATTCAGGTTCCGACTGCCCAAAAAAAAGTAAAGAGGACATGAGAAAAGTATGAAAGGCGACAGCTCGAAAAACATCAGTCCAAACATTATGTGTATGTTTTTTAGCTATAGCAGACTCTCCCTAGACTGAGTTGATTCTAAAATTTACTTGAGCCTAAATAGCTCAAATGTAGAGTTTGTTTTCTTGTTGGACATGCAGCCTATGGTTAAGTAGGTTTATCCAAAACAGACATCTACCAAAACCCTGGAATTTAACTGGATTAAAGTCTCATTTTATGAAGAATAACCAGTAAAGTTTCTCACACGCGGTAACTCAAAACTGTAAGTGGGACTTTACACTTCATTAAAGAGCTATGAGGAACCTGTAAAGGAAGAGATTAACCTGAATACACAAGGAAATTATGTCAGCAAACCGAGACAAAGACTTGGATGGATAACAACCATTTAGGGAAGGATCAACCATTCTTGATAATGCATCTATATCATGCAGCCGTGGAATAGCCCATCGAACCAGTAACTGCTCCCCTCTAGGCCGGGACCTGGAAATCATGTTTTAATGGGCTCAAAGTCAGGAGTCGTATAATTTTAGAAAAATATGTAGTTGCAACAATAACAACTAGCAAGGTGTTAAAATATATCTGTCAGAAAAGAAATTAACCTGTCGTAAGATTGTCTTCCTGTGAGAAGTTCTAGCATAACAACTCCAAAGCTATAAACATCACTCTGACAAGTATAGTTTCCCAATTCAAGTTCAGGAGCACCATAGCCGGATCCTTGCAACTGAAAGTTATACTGAAGTTATCAACACTTTATTCATCGATAAATGCAATATGAGATGGACAGCTTTTCGATGCGAACCAAAATTAGCAGAAATACCAGGTCTTGTCCTTGCATTTTTATCCCCTCGAAATAGAAACAAACAACCATTTCTAAACAGAATGCACCAATTTTTAGCAGCCAATTGGCACCTAGTTTTCATACTAATGAATAATGATGCAGTTTCTAGAAGTTGAGAAGGAAATGTTTACAAGTTCAATGAAGATCACAGTCCAAAAGGATAAATTTTCCCATTACGAATTCAGAATAACTACAGTTTGCAAGTCAAATCTCCTGTTATTCTTGTTTCTAGTTTGAGGATTGAAGGGATTACCTGTCTTATGGAATCAGATGACATCAGAGGTGCCAAACCACAATCTGACATATGTACAGCAAGTTCATCATCAAGGAGAACATTAGTGGACTTGAAGTTCAGGTGGACAATAGGTGGTTGACAAACTTCATGCAAATACCTTTCAGTGAAACAGGAAGCAACTCAATCTCTAAACGGTTACAAGCTAAGGATAAAACTACAAAATTAATTGTGGTGTAGCAAACATTAAGCCCAGGAAACACGCACAGCTGACTTTAACAGCCAATTTATAATTTATTTAACCATCACAATTCATTAAAACAAGTTACAAGCACTTATAAACTAATATCATTTAGCTTTTTTTCGTACTTACTCTAATGCTCTTGCTGCTTGAAGTGCAATGCGGACACGTGTACTCCAGGAAAGTTTTCTGTGGATCTGATCATCTAAGTGCAATGCTTCGTGGAGGGTACCATTTCTACAATACTCGTAGACAAGCAACCGTTGTCCATGCTCTGAACAGTAACCCACAAGTTTGACAATGTTTTCATGCTGAAGTTTAGAGATATTGGAAACCATTTCAACAAATTCTTGATCACTTTGACGCTTGGTCATAGCAGTGTCTAGTTTCTTGACCGCCAATAGCTAACAAAACAAAAGGCATCAAGAAATAGCAAAGTCTCAGCACCTTCTACCCTTGTACGGCAACTAAATAGGTTATATACAAACATGACAAGTACAAGTGGTTATTGGGAAAACAGGAAACTAATTTACTGAATCAGCAGGCATGTCAGGTATATCTACAGTCTACTAATGGAAACTGTTGCCATCTACAAGGTTGGACTACTTCCATTATGCAAACTCGAGTCAAACATTACAGACCCAAAAAACATCTACAAGTTCAATGTAAAATATATATAATGTCTGTCACAGAAAACCATGCTTTTAATATAAAAATAACGAGTAATTTCCACCTTTAAAAAAGTGAAATGAAGCTCAAGATGTGGTACTGATGCAGTCACAATGCATGCAAGCACACAGTATTTACTGATTTGAAGCTCGTGAAAATAAAGATGCTTACTTTTTTGGGAGACTCAGCTCTGTAGACTGTTCCAAGCATGCCTCCTCCAATAAGATTATCTTGAGAAAAGCTATTTGTATATTGCTGAAGAAAGGCAATGGTGAAGAACTCTGCAGAGTTTACATTCTTCATAGCATGCTTGCCTGAGGTAATTGGGGGAACAATTGGATTTACAACCATCCTCTCAGCAGAAAGAGTTTGAAGAAAAGGTGGTGGCGGTGGTGGAAGAACATCCGATATCATTGACTCCATCTCCGAGTCCAGCTCATCGCCTGTATATGATATAGTGCTCTTCACGTCTTTCTGCTGCACAGCCTCTGAAGTATTCATTGACATGTTCCTACCCTGAGCTTTCCCATTTCCAGCCACTGGCCTCAAACCTGCTTCTTTTGGACATATCCATTTTGTCATCATAATGCCATTAAAAACAACAGGTAACTAACGATAAACATAAATCTATAAGAAGAAAGTACACATATGAACTATTTACCTTTTTCAGCATCATAATATGGTTTTTGCAGGGATTGATCATGCTTAGGGTTACCCTTGGCCTTGGGCAAACTATGATCATATGTTTCATGTCTCTTGGTTTCTTTTTGGGTCTCTCTTCTTCTTTTGCAGAATTGTGACATCAATAGGCAAACACCCAATCCAAGTATGACAAGGGATACTAATCCGGCTATAGCAATCAATTTGACATGTTTGGTTGAATTACTACTCTTTTGCCTTCCAGAGGGCTGTAATTCCTGTCCTGGCGGTACAATATATGGCAGTGAAGGGGCTAAATCTGGAGAAAGCGCAAATGGTGCTGGAGAAGGTGATATCATGGGTGGTGAAGGGATGATAGTAGTATTAAAAGGATTCCCTGTACGTCTGATAAAAAACATAGATTTCACCATGTAAGGCAACAAAATTTATAAGTATACAAATGAACCTTTCATGAAGAAGAAAAGACTACCATAGTTCGCTTCCCCCAAAGAGTATCAACTAAACAATTGAGGCCATGACTAAGGCTAGTCTATCACAAAAATGCATCATGTTGATTGGTTATCCATTGTAATTTCATTTTAACCAATCAAATGGTTCTGGAGAAATATTTTTGTAGATGTGCAAAACAAATGTGTTTACACAGTTGATCTTTTGAAGATTTGTGAGCACTTTTATAAGTGGAAGAAGAATTATTTTTTAATGAAAATCCCTCAAACCCCCTTCTTCATTGATGAAATGAAAAATTTCTTGTAAGAACTTAAGCAAACATGGTTTCAATAAGGTCTTTAAAAGAACTCCAAAAGAGCTTTCACAACAAACACCAACTAAATATCTATTATCAATCTTGCACAAAATAGAATTTTAGATAAAAGTTAAGAGTGACATGTAGGATGATGCATAAGGTAGAACGGATAAAGAGGATTCATATAGCCATCCACAATTAATTTGGGATGGAGGATGGTTGATTGATGGAGTAAAGAACTGGCTCATAAGGTGTACTATGCAGTCTTCATCAAAAAGACCATACTATTTAGTAATATCATTACATGCCATATCTTCAAGTTTGCTACTTTACCCATTTATCAGCCAGTGTACTGATTTATTTATCAGATCGATGCATGACAAAGTTATAGAAACTAAAACTTGTAAAACCAACATTTTCATGGTCAGCTCATGGAATGGTGTCAAGTTTATAAGAAACAACAGTTATACTGGCTTCCCATAAATATTCATTGCAAGCACAATTGGCAATTAAATTAGATCTAAATAGTGGAATCTCTAGCCCAAGAGACAACTCCCTTTTGTTATAAACTTTTTAAGTCACATTGTCCCATTACCACAGTGACCAATGCTTATCCAATTTTAAATTGATGGAAGTACCCAGAGAGATGAAGCCAAATTAAAACAAAGAGAAATAAGATACTCCAGTTCATATTACAGAAGTTGAAGATAGAATAAAATGGATTTCATCAGCTTAAAAGAAAACTCAAACTAAAGAGGGCAAAAAAATTCCTAGGTTTTTACCTGAAGGTCGGGATGCTCAACAATTTTGGCGGTATAGGCCCAGAGAACAAATTATTCTCTATGTTTCTGCAGAACAAGAAAGTGACCAAATTTAAGCACGCATTGAGCAGAAAATGACATAGTTGATGACATTATCTATAATGATGGAAAATTTATTAGTCCAGGAGATTACAAATCCGTTAGAGCAAGATCTTGCAAAACGTCAAGGATCCCAGAAAGCTGGTTGTTCTGTAAGTGTCTGCATAGAGCCAAAAGTAAATATTCAAAAATCAAAACTAGAGTATCACAATCCACCATAAATACAAGTATATTCACAAGTCTAGTTGAGAAATTATGTTACCATCCTTTTACCATCCAAGTATATTAAGTTGAATGGTTGCAAATTGAGATTCTAGACAAAATTAATCAACTTTGTGAAGTATTATCCTCAAATATCATTCCTCTAGCTTGTTCACAGAAAACACATCTTAACAAACCAACATTCAGCACAACCATACAACAGTTACATATGCAATGAAATGTCAAAAACTATATTTATCTTTACAAAACTTATCAGTTTAAATTATGTATGAGCAGAACTTATGTTAAATTTCTGAAGGAATTAAGGACTTATTTGAACTTCTATTCAGTGTCTAAAGAGAGGAAAGCACTCATTCCTCATAGCCAGAAAAGTAGTTTCATTTCCTAATATTTCCCTAATTATCATACCAACAAGGAGAAATACATACAAGGTAGTAAGTGACGACAAAGTCCCCACTGAAGGAGGCAGCTGACCACTTAAACTGTTCCCAGATAAGTCCCTGCAAAATAAGGGCATGAAGCCATAAATACAAACAACACCAAGAAAAGTAGTTTCATCACTGCGAAAAGGTAAAAAGCTAAAAGAAGTATGAGTACATGTTAATCAAAGTCTTAAGTTGCAGAAAGGCATCTGGAATGACTCCATTGAGATGATTGTTGTTCAACGACCTACAAGGAAGGAATTAAATGTAATGATAACAAAAGCATGGTCATAGAAAAAGTATATCAAGATAAGTCAAATATAACTCACAAGTCTGTTAATTGCCCTAACGAGGATATGTTGTCTGGAATGCTCCCAGTAAGCTGGTTACCAGAGAGAGACCTGTATATACACAAATACCATAATAGGATTAAAAATGTGGATGTATGTGGAGCAAATAACTTATAAAGTGGTGAAGAAGCTCAGTAAGGACAAAGATTATTAACTTACAAGGTTTTGAGGGTGACAGGCAAATTGGATGGTATACTGCCTCCAATATGGTTGTTGCTGAGATCTCTGGTTTGATCATAACACAAAGCGTAGACATTTAATACGTAGGAGTTAACTAAAGCCATAGAATTAAACAATGTAATAGTGGTGCCAAATGATGCAGGGAAGGACAAAGTGCACAGAACCAAATGACAAGGCAAATTTCAGCAACATAAGTTAAATCAATGCAATGATGAAGATAAAGATGGTACCAACATTTGTATGATTGAAGCAAAGCTTCCTATGCCCTCACTTAATTCACCTCCCAAATTTGAATCATTTAGTACTCTGCCAAAAAAATAAAAGAAATCCATTATAAAGTATTCAAACCATGTGAGAAACACAAGCAAAAAAAAAAAAAAGGAAATCTTACATTCCAGTTACATTGGAATTGACACAGAGTACACCATGCCATAGATCACCACAAGGGTCTAATCCATATGGCACCCATCCAGGAAGCAAGGGGTAGCCCAGACTAGTATATAAACTATTTATGGCAAATACTGGAGAGCAAGAAAAGAACACAAAGTCATAAACTTCACCTTTCTTTTACCCAAAACATCAAACGGTAATTTCAATAAAGCTAATAGAAAAGATAACAAATTCAAACTATTGAGACATTCTATACTGTATAATACACAAAATTCAAACCACAGAGAGATTATTAATACCATCACGAGGATCAGTAAACCCCTGGCAATTTTGAACAGCAAAAACTGCAAATACAAACAAAATCTTCATATATAGTCCACACATCTTGTGACCAATCATCACCAAGGGACACTCCAAGAACACAAATTTCCTGCTTCCTCTTCCTCTGTCCTTTTTCCTTCAAATCTTTGCTTCACAGTTCCAGCAAAAAGAAAACACTCTGCAAAACACACAAAGATCTTCACTTTAACATAAACAACAGACAAATCTCCAACAACCAAAAGAACCAAAACCTCAAAACTACACTTCCATGGATTTTCAAAACAAAAAAAAACACATAACCTGCAAAAAGAGTACTCTTAAAAAAGAAAGGCAGTCAAATACTGATTACTGAACACCCATCACAGAGAAGTTGAAAAAGCATAAAAAGAACACATCTTTCAATACAAAAAGTACATAAAGATTCAAACTTTATGAACAAAAAAACACTATAGCAAAGTGAAGAACCCCACATACAACAAAGTTGGGATATGTGCTACTACCCTTTTCTTTTTTGTGTCTCTAAACAAGACAAAAACAATAGATAAACACTTGCTTTTAGGCTTAAGCCTATATCTTCTTTCTTCTACCTTTTGATAAACAGTGATTTGGTACATCAGTAGAGTACTTAATTTAATCCCATTAATTTAGGGAACCCACATATAACAAATTTTCCTAAAAGAACGTTAAAGCTGGAGAAGAATTTCAATAATTTGATTTGAATTATACCACAGAGTGTACCGTTGGTGCTGTGTAGAAAACAGTACTACTGGTTTTGGGTGAGTTTTCAGCACATGGCTCCCACTGTGATTTTGACTATTTATGCTTAATTGGGAACAAAATCTACACTAATATATTTTAAAATTGTCTTTTTCCTATGACATTAATTTCTTTTTACTTTTATTATTTATTCGATACTTACATTAAAATCGGATGACGGTGAGATAAATTACAAAGGCTTCTGATGAGTAGAAGCATTTTGGAAGGAGAGAGAAGGATCTACATAATTTTTACACTTTCTCTGTTTTTAATTATTTGTTCATTTTTGAATTGGTACACCTATTAAGAAAATAATTATTGACATAATGAGTTTACTATTTTATCTCTATTAATTATGAAGTAGATGCATTAAAAAATTAAGATTTTCAAGAAATTCTACTTTTTTCAAAATAATTAATTGAGAGTATAATAGGTAAAAAAGAATTGTTCTTTCTTGATTTGTCAAAATGAATAATTAATTAGGAATAACTAAAAAAAAAAAGTGGACAAATAATTAGAAATAGAAGGAGTATTTTTTAAAAGAAAATGTTTGAATTAACTTGTGCACTTATTATTCACATAAATTTCAAATATATGCTTACTCTACTAACTAGCAATTAATGAAAGTTCAATTTCAATAAATACATAATTAAATGTACAAGATTTAACCTCTAAGACCAGCATTTTAAATTTACTTGAAAAATCCTTTCAAAATTGATAGAAAAAGAATTTTATGTCAAATGTTAAAACTTTGTACAGAGAAGGAAAATATCTTAATGATAGAAATATATATATTCATATAATATTTTGTCATATGATATATTAAAGTATCAAATTATTCTATCAAAATCTTTGAAACTATTATTGATAATCTTAGAGATTCTATTTCTATAAAGATGATTATTATATTATCAAGAAGAACATAATTATTTTAAAAAGGTAAATTCTTTAAAAAGTAAAATATAGCATAAAAATAGCTTTTATAATAAGATAATGTTATATAAGATGCAACTATACGCCTAAGAATAACTATATATATATATATATATATATATATATATATATTATTTATATTGATACAGCACCCGCACCACAAAAAGAGAGGGAAAAAAATCAAAAAATCAAGCAAATGATGGATAGAGAAAACTCAGATAATATCTCAAATGGTCAATTAATTATAAATAACTTTTTTCAGAAATTTACTTAACTGTGGTTTGTGGTAGTTTTCTCATAAAGTCATTTAATTTTATTTTATAAGTCAGAAGTCGCTCAATTATAATTTAAATATATAGTTATCTTAGAAAGTCACTCAACTATTATATTTAATATAGAAAATCAACCAATCAATTTAATCATTTTATTGATGGACCTACTAAAATTATGTGAATATATATATTTATCAAGAACATTTTAGTTTAGATGCATTTAAAATAATATTTAAAGCAATCACTCGTGCAAATATGACGACATAATTTGATACTCTAATTTTTCTCATATAATTAAGAAATATTGGAATCTTCGTTATTATCTCACTATTGTTTAAAGGTTGACATAATTAACTGATTATCCAATTATAAGTTAATAGTTATTTGTTTTTGTATTTATAATTTATATTGGAACTTACAATATAATTTTGTTTTACTAAATATCGTATTAAATCTGGTTGTATGATATATATATATATATTACTTAATTTTAGTGGGACGTGTCAATATGCATATAATGAGAATTTTTTTATTTCTTAAAAATTTAGTTTAAAATAAATTTTTCATGTCAACCAAATTTAATGATTTTTTTTTTAAAATTGGTTGTAATACTTTTTTATTGGTTATTAAACCTTTCTCAAATATAAATCATAATATTTTTTATATATATATTATAAGTTATTTATTAAAAATTATTTGTAAAATAATTGAAAGTTTTATTTTTATTTATTTTCTTAGTAATAAAATTATAAAATTGAATATATATAAGACTATGCTTCATAGATCCATAAGACTTACGTCTTGTGTCTCGAGACTTACGTCTTGTGTCTCGAGACTTACGTCTTGTGTCTCGAGACTTACGTCTCACCCTATACTGCATAAACGTCTCTTCTCACGCCTCCGCCTTTTAAAACACTGCTCTTAAGTAATCCAAGTTAACTGTCCTATCTCAATTTTGATAGTTCAATTATTACTTCTTACAACTAAAAAAAATGTAATTACGTCTTAGTATTATTTTCTGCTTAAAGATATTTTTCATCACATAATTGGTAAGTGAATGGAAAATGTCTAATTGGTCAGCAATGACTAATGGAGCACCTAATTTTTAATTACTGCATTATATTAAAAAAAAGTATAATAATGCTTTCTCGATCATTGAACTATCTCCTTGATTATTATTTTTTTATAAGAGCATTATCTCATTTTCAAGTAAGGAAAACTTTAAGGGTGAATATGATTGTTAATTAAAAAGTGGTTAAAAGTGACTACGTGAAGTTCATTTTCAGTAGGCATGAAAAATTTGTAGTTTCTTAGGTCTTAAGACTTGACCCATACACACCAATATCATAATTATTTATTATCTGTTCTTCTAATCTATATGACATAATTTAATTTTGCGTGAACTTAAAGAAGTAAATATATTTTTATATAATTAATGGCTTTAAAGTATAATAAAGCATTTATATGGTTGTATAACTTATAAAATTTTAAATTTAAAGTATGTCAATAATATTTATATGATTTACAAAAAAAAAATTAAAAAAAATTGTCATATATATTGAGGGGTAGTAACCATTGTTGATTTCGTGAATCACGTCTTGTCATTATCAACAACCCAAAAAAAAAAAAAAAAAATCACTATTCACTTTTCCTTTTTCTTTATCTTGTAAATGGAGATAACTAGTAAGAATTAATAATATATCAAGAAATACTCCTAGAAAGGTAAATATGGTTTAGTAGTGCATTGTCTCCACTAGTGCACAATATTCTAATAATTATTGGTTAAGGAGGTTAACTTCTAATTAACTATAGAAAAAGAATGTACAAGTAATTCATAAAAAATAAAATTAACAACCTAAAAGAAAAAGAAAACTTGCGACCTACTCTAATTATAGCGTAAACAATTAAAGTCAATGTTTCTTCAATTATTTTTTATTCATATAAGTTACTATAACAACCAAATACTCTTTTGTCTTACCTTCACGTAAAAAAATTGTATGAATATTACAACATAATGCCAAAAGAAAACACCTATATACTTGGAAAAACCTCATTAAATCTGCAAAAAGTTTTTCGTTTCTTAATAAGTGTTGTTTTAGTTTAGACACACTCTTTTATAATACTACTAATTCCTATAAAATAATAAGTATTTTTACTAACTTACCTCTAATTAAATGCTTTGAAGAAAGAAGTGATATTTTAACCTGTAAAACTTCATGTATTTAAATAATGACGATTTTAGAAAAATAAGATCAATTGTTGCTTAAAAATCTAAAACATCACTTACTCCCTTCGTTCGGATTTACTCGTCAAATATTTCCTAATTTAATTTCTACTTTTACTTAATATTTTTGACAAATAAAAAAATGACAATTTTATTTTTTCTATTAACCATCAATTATTAACATTAAGTTAATGTTTTTGAAAAATGTAATGAGTAAGCCTGTTTGAGACCCTATCAACTAATAGAAATAAAATGATAAACTTATAGTAATATCAATCATTATTTTCTTATTAATATGTGTATCGAGATTAAAATTGACAAGTAAATCGAAACGGAGGAAGTATTTAGGAACTAACGATTACTAATTTGGAAGAATGTGATGACTGATGAGTAACGAAACACTAATGATAGCAATGTTGCTCCAAATATGGGGCATGCGTTTTTTTTTTCCAACTCCCTCTACTCATTTGACATAATTATGTCACATTCACAACTATATCAAATATTTAATGAAAAATTAAACTACTTGTCATCCTCGAAATATTATTAACTTTATGCACATTTATTAATTATTGTTGGTAAATTAATTATGGCTAAATATTCATGAAAGTTGCACTTTTGAGACTTTTGTCTTTGCAACAACTATAATATCTTGTGCACTGGAAGGACCATGGTGAAAAAGTCTACATTTTTTATTTAACAAGAAATACGAGTAAGAATTACTCTATAGATATCATTGAAAAATATTTTTGTTTGTTATTTTTTATGACTAAAGTAAAGTCACCAAATGAAATTTTAAATATTTTTTCGTTCGTTGATGCTTTACTATTTGTATCGTACTCCACTCAACCATGGTACAATGATACATACTACATACTAACACTTCTACTTGAGTAGATGGTCTTTCGGAAACTGCTTTTTTATCTCCATGATGTAGTAATAAGATCTACATACATTCTACCCTCCTCAAGCCTTACTTGTGACATTTCACCGAATATGTTGTTGTACATAGTGCATACT